CCCCCCGAAGTTCACTTTTTTATTGCAGAATTGGGGTCCTCTAGAGTAGCGCAGCACAACCCCGCATTCAAAAAAAAAAAAAAAAAAAATCCTTGCTGTGTTTTTTCGTCGCCCGGTTTTGCCGGGCGGACCCCCCCGGGCCCAACCGGCCGGGCGCCGTCCCAGCCTAGGTAATAGGTCCAAAGTTTAGAGGAAGAACTGTGCAGAGACTTGCAGAAATTCAGAAAAAAAGAAGAATGAACTTTCCGGATTTCCACAAGATTAATCGAAGGTAATTTGATCAACCAAGTAATCTACTACAATCGATGAAGTACTATCTGATGAGCAGATCAGTCGAGGTCCGCTCGGATACCAAACTCTCGCATGTGGCACAGATGCAAGGAATCACCGAAGTGCACGGAAACAACAATGTGACCAGGGGAAGGCCGAGAATGCACATATTTGACTCATCTGACTCTGCATATGACACTCATGCATCATCACACATGACATGGGCAAGGTGGGCACATAGATGAAAGGAAGTTTCCGCCTTGCCCCACACATGTGCGGGTGCAATGAACCCAGTCTGGGGAGAAACTCGTCAATGTCGAAGTGCAAGATGTCACAGCGAATGTCAATGTCTCCAATAATCATGAATGTGATCTCAACGATTCTCAAGTACAACATCTTGTAACCAAAGGACAACGCTGATAGGGGGGAGAGAAGATTTAGAGGGTGGAAGAGAAAGTATCCATCAATGTCATCGAAGATAGATCTCCCTCACATCCCACGCCTCCTTCGGCATCTCCCCTCTATCCACGTCAGCATACAGAATCCCAAAGACGAGCCTGGCGAGAAAGATCACAACATAGTGCCACGTAGGCACAGATCTTCCATGAAGACATCACAGCAGTGCACAATGTCGACAGCAATAATCAGGTAAGCTTCTCTCTCTCACACAACCAATCTCACAGCCCTGATCTCCATCCTCGTCGATATCCCAATCTGAGTCGAAGACAATGTGGCTAGCGCCACGTCAGCAATCAAGTATCCAGCTGGCGCCAAGAGCAATGCAGCAGTCTCACGTTGTCGTCACACACAATGCCAGCGTAGTGCCAGCGTCTAGCCCCAGCGTCCAGCCAGCGTCGTGCCAGCGTCGAGCAGCAAGTGCAAGACTGAATGTCAATGAGCAGGGGCTGGGTCAATATGTAGTTTTGACGCAGATTGACCAGCCTCTGGTCTCTTGGATACTAGGGCTCAGATTGACCCATAGTCAATGGCTTGGATCACAAACAGTTGCAGACTTCCACTTGGACCAGATTCTGCCTGGATATCTGTGTACAGCCAAATGTGTGTCTGGTCGGTGGCCTGAACTGGGTCCGTGACTCGTGAGCCTCAATGTTTGTTTGGATATGTCTGGCGCAGGGCCTAGCTGTGGCCTTTGGGTGCCCCTGGCCGATGACAATGGCATATTTCGAGCGGGTTATTACACAGGTGAGGGATGAGTCAAAAGTGGGACTTTAGAAACAGATGACGAAGCCGAAGAAGAGACTGAATAGCTGCTTGCAAGATCAATAGTCCCAAAAAACTGAGAGTCCAAATTTCAGGTACAAGTCTGGGTTTATCCCGAAGATGGTCACCAAGTCTCTCTCTCTCTCTCTCTCTCTCTCTCTCTCTCTCTCTCGCGCGCGCGCACAATTGTAACCAGATACTGACCAGCGAAAGGTGAAGTCTTGAGCTGTCTGTGCTGCGTCTGGACGCTAACTGGGGTGAGACAGTGAAGACAACGATGGTCTATTTCTGTCTCTCGCTCTCTCGCGCGCGCACTTGTAACCAGATACGGACCAGCGAAAGATGCAGTCTTGAGCTGTCTGTGCTGCGGCTGGACACTAACTGGGGTGAGGCAGTGAAGATAACAATGGTGCCTGGTAAGTATTCTCCAACGCTACACCTCTGCTGATCTCCTTTACTCTAAACCTCCTATCCCACTAGCGCTAATCCTAACACTGCTCCTCTAACGCTGTGCCAGCAGCGTGCTGAAGTGTGACCACCAAACACGCAAACACTGCGTGCCCAACTGAGCCAAGGTCAGCCATATATAGC